TGTAAGTTGTGAAGCATCGGGTAAATGATTTGTGCTAACATTAAAAGGAAGTGGTATGGGACAGTTTAATAGGGAGAAGGTGGAGTTCGGAATATGGATCGATTCAACATCAACCTTAAGCAGATCGGATGACTGAGAAAAAGAGATTGAATTACCGAGGTAATTCGTGGCCATGTGGCACTTTTCTAGCACACACCCACTAGGGTCAAGGATCAGGGTGCCTTTATCTTTATTATCAGTGCTCGGTGTAGATGTTAACCTGGCGGGTACAACGGAGGCATGATACCGTTCTGTTCCCAGTGACTTTTTGTGGTCTCGTACAACACGTGGCTGAAGACCAACTGCATCATCTGGCCTACTAAAGGTGACATCAACTCTTGAAGTCGCCAAAAATCCTGTTGCGGTGGTTGCGAGCTTTTGGTGGGTTCATGAATACTTGTCACATAGTCATTGTGGTTACATTCAGTGGTGGATTGAGTATACTGACTACTTTTGCCCGCTGTAAGGGGATTCAGAGCAGGCGTTTGGCGATAGCTTGGTTCACCAATCGAATAAAATGTTTTCCTTGCAAACAGTTTTCGATTCTGCGTTTTTGAGAGCGTTGATGCTGCTTTAGCAAACACTGGTATCATCATAATGGCCACTAAAGTAAGGTTCAGACGGAGGTTGTGCAACGACTAAACGATCATTGTTGCGCCTTGCGAAAGATGTAGAGTGAAATAGCTTTATATGGCGATTCGTGGCTTGGAAACGCCTATTATCTTTATGATGAGGTGATTGTCTACACAAAAGCGTGGCTCTACTGTCCGGCCGTAGCTGAGGAACAATTTGGTCAGAGTTGTGAGAAATGCGGTCAGACTTTCTGGTGCTGCACTCAATCTACGACACTTATCAGTCAGTTAAGACTTTACGTGCACAAGAATCAATAAGTGAGGAGCTGAGTGCCCTCAAAAGTAGTCCTAGGATACATAGTCTGACCGCCTTTTTGAATAAACATTTGCAGGCATCGAGAGACATAGGTTATTTATTACACAACGGAATGATCTGTGAATATCTCCTAGAAATTTGTCGTGGTAGGCTTTTTGCTCTTCAAGTGGCTGCCAGCTCACTAACTGATTCTTTCACACCTTATGTTAGACACAACGAGATCTTTGGTAGTTTAGCACCGAATAGACCTTATTAGGGAATCCACACAGGCCCAGTCTCCCAACTTGCCAATGTGTGCGACCTGCTTGAACTAGGTGGCGTGTGGTTACATGCGAATAAATGCATCCTGGCAGATTATGCATAGTATGATGCCGTATTCTTTATAAATTTTCTCAGCCTCACCGGCTACAATAACATTCGGATACTGCCTTTGCAAACGGCGCGTGTTCGTGTAATTTATCACATGTAATACGTATTATTGTTATTATTACCTCACCGATGACATCTCCAAGGGGGAAAATATGACCCTCCACTGACGGTTGGGATGCAGTTCTGCAAACACGGGACGGTATTATCAATGCAACTGGCTATTTGTCCCAACTGAACTTCGCTTACGAAGGGGCGAATGGTGGTGCACTTTGTCAAAAGCGTTGGCGAAATCGGAGCAAAGAGAGACGGCCACATTTCCTTCATCTCAAGCGCTAATTATGCGACCAAACAGTTCTGAGTGGCGTATGGTCCAAGATTTTTGGGCAGAATTCCATGCTGCGATGAGCCGACATATTTTTGTTCAGAAAGTTGAGATGTCACCCACCTTCAACTTCAGACGTAAGTTTATTTCAAACTCGGTGTGCTTTGAATAACTCAGCCCATACTCTTCATCATTTGCGATACGCTGAGCTCTTGCACGAATCTCAGGGTGAACACTCATGAGTTTGAACTTCAGCATGACATGACTGCAACAGGCGTAGCTGGTGGTTGGGAATGCTTGGAATGTTCTCCGTTGTTGGTTGCCAAGACTACGTTATTGGGTGCATGGGTGAAACTTTCGTGCGCAGCGGAATGGATTGCCGTATTACGAGTGAATTTTTATGCAAAGTTTACACACAATGATAAGCTTTTGTTTCGGCAATACTTCTAGCAAAACCACTGCCCATGATCACACCAGTACTTGGAGTATTTCAGCAACCTTTATTTACACATTCACCTGTTGGTGTCTTATATGTCGTCTTTACTCACTGTTCGTTAATCTATTTGTTCGATACAATGCTCCATATGTTTAGCAGTTGTGTTGTGTCTCCGTTTTGGCGTGTTTTATGTCCAATTTGTTTGAATAAGTGCTCTGCCAGTAAGCTTTCTTTCCATTTTTGCTGTTTTGTATGGCGTTAATGTTCTGATCGATTTTGTGCTTCTCTTCCTGTAGATGTGCCGCTACCAATGAATCTTCTCCCAGATTCCTGCAACTTCGTACAACTGTGGTCTCACTTTGGTTCATCTCTGATGTTGTTTCAGTCTGATTTTCAACGGTCTTGATGTTTGTCCCACGTAGCTCATTGAGCAGTTCGCATACGGGACTGTTTGCATCACATTATTACGGTCTATTATTTTTCTACCGGGTTCTTTATTTGGTTAGGTTAATTTTCAGCAGATTTATTAGTTTATATGCTGCAAAAATACCAGCCCTCCCAAGGTTTGTTGTTATCACCTCTGACGTGCCCTTTTCGAATGTTAGTACAAGTGTCTTCCTATGGTTGTCTTCCTTATTAACTCCTGTCTCCAACTTTTGCTTCTTCTTCCTGATGTTACCTTTTATGAGCTGCTCTCCTTATGGTTTCTCTAAGAACATCCTGAAAAAGACATTCATCCCCCTTCTTTGGCCATCAGGACATGTTGCTTGTTTACGTACTGTATTTGCCAGACCCTGTACTGGCCCCCCTTGCTGTGGTTGGGTGGGCCGAGTGGTATTTCGAAAAGCTTACAGAATGCATTGGTTATCCATTTCGTGTTGTTTTTAAAGTGCCATCTATCCAGTGTGCTCTCACATTGTATAATCTCCATCCGCCTGAGTAATCGAAATACGTTTACCAGCTCTTAGGAAACATCCTTGTGGCAACATGATGCACGCAGACGGGGAGATGGATTTGCCAGAGATCTTCGGTATTTTATCTGCTGAGGCTGCCAGGTCATCGAGTGGAACTGACTGAAGTGTCATTAACACGGTTTGCACTGGTTGTGGTAGTTTTGAAAGAAACAGTTCTCGGAAAAGGCCGTTATCGATTGTTCGTGTGCTCATAACTTCTCGCATGTGTGCGGCGACTTCAGTGGCTGAGTTGCTGCCTAGCTCGATGTTACGAAGCAATTCGTCTAGGCACTGGAGATCGAGATCGATTTTCTTCAAGGGCGCAGCTTTGAGAAGTGCATTGGGATCACCTACCTTAGGACTAGACATATGTGCTGTGACAAGCCTATTTAAATCCGGCGGTTGTGAACGTATGCTGGCAAGAAGTGGAGAGTGAGGATCTGAGACACCCTGTTCTCGAAAATCGGTCTCGGCATACAGAAACCATGTTTCTGCATTGTCTCGCCAATACGGCACGAGTTGGATCGTGTTCGTAGTCGACTTAATACGAATAAGCTTGGGAGTGTGGTCGGACATGAGAAAGTGTAGTAAATGGATATATAAATGTTATCGAAATGAAAACAATAAACAAATATAAAATGGAACAGGCTCACCAATTCAATACTTGATCACGTCGGGCTCACCAATTTAGGAATTGTCCTGGTGCGAACTTGACAGACGCAAAGACCAATCACTAATTATTCGAACTTGTTATATACCCACGAATACGAGACCAAGGAAGAACACGATAGCGTAGTCGGATGGAATAGTATATTTGGATGGTTAAGCCAAAATACCGATGCGTTCCAACTAACTGGCTAGAGAGTCGAATACGAGCAATGCAACGTAACACGACAGCGTGCCAAATGGCGAGGATGCTTGACCGGGTGCCTTCAGCTTAGCGAGTCCAGTTAAACTATCAAGGTCAGCATCAATGTCGAAGTCGTCAAACCCTAGGCTATTGATTTTGGGGAAGTGTGTGACGCTGCAGTCCGACATGGGAAGGAGTTGTATATAGATATGTAAATGTTGCCAAAATGAAAACGATATACGATTATAAAACGGAACGGGGTCACCAATTTAAGATTTGCTCTCGGTCAGGATTTGTCATCACGTTGGGCTCACTAATTTAGGAGTTGTTCTAGTGCGAAATTGACAGACGCAGAGGCCAATCATTAATTATTCCCACTCGTTACGTACCCACAAATACGAGGCCAAGAAAGAACACAGTAGCGTAGTTGGATGGAATAGTATATTTGGGTGGTTATGCCAAAATACCGATGCGTTCCAACTAGCTGATTAGAGAGTTGATTACGAGCGGCGCAACGTAACACTGCAGCTTGCCAAATGGCAAGGATGCTTGACCGGGTGCCTTCAGCTTAGCGAATCCGGTTAAACTATGGGGGTCAGCATCAATGTTGAATCTTGTCAAACCCTATGCAATTGATTATAGTGTGTGACGCTACATACTGCCTCATAATTTAGTCTTTAAATTCTTCCCTCATATATAGGTTCTCAGACACACAGAGTAGCAGTTCACTGATCCTGGATTTGGAAGCTAGCTTAGCGAAAACATCTTCTATTCCATCCACTTATCATATCATTGACATAGACGAGATGTAACCATGTTATACAGGAATTTGTGGTTTCGGATTTTAGACATGGTCTGTCTTTTCTTTTCTTTACCACCAAACCAGAGAGACTAGGAGGAAGTGGCAGGATGACAATCAATAAGACGACGAACGTAATCTCAGTAGAGTACTGCTTTTCGTGTTTAGTGATCATCTTTTTAAGCGTCCCCGAAGAGGAAATGATCGTATGTCACCAACTGACTTATCAAAGAGAGGACTTGACAGATCGATCTACCTGTTTGAAAAAGATTAACAACGACTCATTTTATTCTGTCTCCAATCTTTAGGTCCGAACCTTATCCGTTCCCAATTTACAAGATTTCACTTTGGAACATTGAACGCTACTTCACCGATTGGCGCTAAGGCATTAGCCACCTATGAAATGCAGACTAAGTGGTTGTCATTGCTTCATTATTTCCGAAGGGTGAGTTCCCTGCAACTTTTTTTGATCAGTATATTTAGTCCCTATAAAAGACCTCCTCAGGTTTATATGAAAAGTTTTATTTTATACTCTCAGAACATTTCGTCAATCAAAAAACTTAATGTTTACTTAAGATCACAGCTTGGACTTACAGAAGGCTTTGATAAAAATCAAGTCTTTTCTAACTTATTTTCCGTTCCTTATCAATATGGCTAGGTTCGGAAGCACATGAATAAGTAGTCCACTAACTCTAGACTATGTCTAGAGTCAAATGGATTTAAACGAAACCCTCTTGTATTCCCTAATATAAGTTTAAAACTTCGGAACTGTGGTCGAGTGTAATTCCATTTTAGTCTGCTTATTAGAAATGTCACAATGAAACAATAGCATTCACTGGATAACGTTTCGGACATAATTTATTGTCCATATTCATATCAGGTAACTCCACAACTTCGAGACAGTCTTTATATATTCCTAGTTTTCTCTCCTTCTCTATGATGACAAGGGCAGTAGAATTTTCCATATATCTGGGACAGGTGCAGCATCATTTCGATTGCATGTGTTCGGTGTTGATTCGATAAACAAAGATTCGGTTATCAATCTCTCCCTCCACCCAACTAAGTTTTCAACACTGTCACCCTATCCCATCCTACTGTGTGATCGTGTGTCGCATGCAGAGCTGTAGCCGAGTTTTTCTCTAGATTTCCTATCTCATTAGGATCTACTGATCTTAATTTAGCTAAGTTTTTGTGCTCTGTTATTCCAATCGACCCTGGTCGACCGACTGCTTTGACCTATGTACTTGACCTCGCAATCATTGCAAGGAATCTGATGAACTAGATTATTTTGCTTAATTGCATCGATAGGATCTTTTAATCTACAAAGCTTGTTTCTAAGTGAGTTTGTTGGTTTAAATGCTACTTTAATCCCAGCCTTATTGAGAATTCTTCGTAATGCTTCTGAGGTGCCTTCCTTGTATGGTAACACAGCAGAGGCTTTGAATTCTCTCTTAACCCTGTCGCCATTATTACCACTAGTAGTGGGATTATTATTAATAACATCTGTATTACTACTACCACTGCTAATGTTTTTCTTTCGATTTCTTATGAATTTGTTTATAAATTTTGGTGGGTAATTATTGAGACGTAGGTTATTCTTGATGTGTCTAATTTCTTGTCACAGATTTTCCGATCTACTGGTAAGCTTTTTCGCTCTATCACCTAAGCATTTAACTAGGCCTACTTTAACTGAAATGGGGTGGGAGGATTCGAAGTTTAAGTAGCGATTCGAATGGGTAGGTTTCCTATAGACACTAGTCTCTAGATTTCCTTCTTGTATTCGTTTAATCTTGCAATCCAACATTGCTAGCTCACCTTCTTCACTTTCTAAGTCACAGGTAAATTGGATTGTATTTACTACTGAATTTATATGTGCCAGGAACCCTATTGATGTGTTCCTATGTCAGTACTGTAAACGTATCATCTACGTATCGGGACCATACCTTTGGAGTAGGACTAAATGTTTGAATGGCTACCTGTCCCCAACTATCTATAGATATATCTGCGACGATAGGGGATATTGGTGATTCCATGGCAACACCTTCAGTTTGTTTATATATTTTATTTTGAAACTTAAAAACTGTAGATGTTAGGCACAATCGTACTCCCAGTATGATTTCCTCGATCGGCAGCTTAGTTCGCTGCGTAAGTTCTTTGTCATCTTTAAGCCCATTTCGAACTGTCCCCAGAGCCATGTCAATCGGTATAGTTATGTCAAAACTAACCATTTTTTTTCCACTGTCGTCTAATCTGTGCTTTAAGTCGTAAGAGTTGGTAAGTCAAGATTTTGGGTGATTTCTTATTGGGCCTAACACCGTTGCTAAATATTTAGACAACTCAAAGTAGCTACAGCGTGGTACAACTAAGAAGGTAGATAATTCAGATGTTATGTAAACTGTCAATGGATAAGTCGATGCAGATTTCACCATGACGCTATTTTATGAAAGCTGAAGGAAAGCAGTCTTGCTTCCCCACTTTTCATCTAAATTGGTATAGTATATATAGTGTAGTGTAGTATATATATATATATATGGAATCTAAGCAATTCCTTTTACGACTACTCCGAAAAACTGGTGATTCGACATTTCAGGAACCCATCTGCACAGCAGTCGTATAATAAACCATACGCCTTATATGTCAACCAACACCCGACCATCCATCGAGTTTACGACAGCTACAATAGGTGAGTGGATGTATCTACTGCATCATCTACCAAGGATCTGCAGCCATTCCGCACGGCCTAGAAGCGAGCGTAAGATCATTTGTTTTATGCAAGCTCGTAAAACATATTAGGAAAGGATTGCATTCGGTCGTTTGGATTATGAGGACCGAATACGGTAAGTTACCGAGACATTCACAGTAAGTTCAAAGATAGGGAGTACCATTCATTGGGAAAACTGACCTATTTTACAATTAACACTTGATGTCGTTGTGAAAGTGAAATTTTTTGAGAATGATAGAAAAACGACATTTGATTTCCTCATCACCTCTCATCAAATTTCCCTAGTTGCAGGATAGTGTATTTTGCTAAAACGTTTTTTAGCCTTTCCCAGAAGGGTTTTAAATAGCACTCAATTTAGCTTGCTGTACACTTAGTCATAGCCAAGGATTTACTTGATAGCAAATTATCTCTTATTAGAGCAAATTCACCGATTCGTTGGTGATTAAATTATCAGGTCTAGTCTCTCGTTTTAAAAATGCATTCCATTTGTTTCTAAGCTCTCTACTATGGTGATATGCCTTTTGTTGTACATACTTTGAACGTAGTAGGTAAAATTACCGTAACCGTTTTTTAGAACTAGTGAGTATGAAGTAACACTTCAGATACTTTGGCAGAAAATTACGTCTACAATGTTGCATTTTGGCACTCCCAGTCTTCAAAAAAGGCGAGAAGTCCTCTTGTGATAAGCACAGAGGAATCAGCCTGACGAACATAGTATCTGACACTCTAGGTTCGATAATTCTTCGACGCCCGGGGGGAGCTCGGGAACAACAAGCCCGAGGAAACCAAGCAGGCTTTCGACCCGGCCGCGGATGTATCGACTAAGTATTCACACTGCACTAGGTTCTGGAACACAGACACGCCTACAGACACCCGACAACAGCTGCATTTCTCGACCTGAAGGCGGCATTCGACTCCGTTGATCGACGAGTCTCATGGCGATGTATCTCACTGAAAGGCGTGACGAGTAAGTACATCACCTTATCGAAGGCTCTCTACTCGAACACTTGTGGGCTAGTTAGTGCCTATGGTGAGATATCTGGGGAGTTGTACTCGTCGAGTGGTGTCCGTCAAGGATGCCCACTGTCTTCATTCTCATTCACTTTTATCATAGATATCCTTATGGAGGCCTTACTCTCATTACCTGACTACACTGAGGTTGACGCAATCGCAGGAGAATTTTCTCTAGACCTAGAACACTCAGATGACATAGTCAGTCCTGTTAGCTGCAGACACTGACAAGATGCGGAGTCTTCTGGATACATTGAGTGGCAATTTGAGAATGTTTGGGATGCGTTTCTCACCACCCAAATGCAAATTGCTGCTCCAGGATTGGTCTTCAACGATGCCACGGCTGACAATAGAGAGTGTAATGGTTGGGTGTGTTGACCACTTCATCTACCTGGGAATTAGGATCAGCCCTGCCATGGTAGCTCACTGGCCGAGGAAATCTCTGTACAAATGCAAAGGTCTCGACTGGTTTTTGCCGACTTACTCCACCTGTGGCGCCACCGTTATATCCGATTGTCTATTGAGGGTCGCGTATACTGCACACCAGTCCGGTCTGTTCTACTGTATGGCTGTGAAACATGACCATTGAAGGTGGAAGATATGAGAAGGCCTCAGGTGTTTGACCTCCGTTGCCTTCGTAATATAGGCCGTATTCCGTGGTGTCACCACGTGGGTAACGCGGACGTCAGGAGTAGAGTTTTAGGGAGAAGAAGTCAGTCTGTTGACGAGGTTGTGAACCTTCATCTACTGAGATGGTTGGGGCACGTTTTACGTATGCCTAGTAGCCTTTTGTCTCGTCACACAGTAATGTGAGAAGTAGGTTCAGGCTGGAAAAGGGATGGAGGGGCCCAGACCAAAACATGCATCAATGTATGAAGTCTTTGACTCTTGGTTCGAGTCATGATAGGCAATGGAGGCCAGGTGGTTGGGGTCCGCGGGGCAAGAGAAACCAGTGGTTGGAGACTCTAGGTGATGCATTATGGCTGAGAACCGATGTCAGTGGCGCAGATGTATGCACACATTATTCTCATCTTAACATTATACCGAATCTCACCATTTTCTCATTCTTTGTTTCTCTCTTCTTGTACTTCGTGTTTCTTTTGACTGAATTTTCTTCTCTTCGTCTTCCACTTCACTGCCTTTTTACTTGATGTACTGATATGAGGTGTGGGAACTCGGACCGTTACGCAGTAATGTCTGGTCCTATGTTAATTTGAATGGATGGATGAATTTTGCTACTGGTCTTTTGGAGAAATACAGCTGATGTACATATGCATCATCCATTGTGAATACACGTTTTTTACTCCTGATACTTCTCAGAACAAATTTGGCGTGTTTGGAACGTCAGCAAAAGGACTAAATTCACTTTTAGTTAAACTCCATGTCTATACAGCACGTCATTGATCGGTATTTAACCATACAATTGGGTCAATTGGTTTGCAAGGAAACAAGTCAACAGTTCTGGATATTGTCTGTGTCGTCTGAAACCACTGCATTTTGCAGCTGTATAGGAGAAAGATCGATTAGGGAGGAAAAACGAAATAAAAATAACGCCAGCAGCAAAAACATCTTAGAATTGAGTTATAAATATTTTGTGGAAAGAAACAACATGTAGATTCAAGTGTGTTATAGTCCAATTTGGAGTCATACTCATATCTGCTGCTACAGAGTGAATTGTTGATAAGATCATCTAATGTACGCATGTTACTATC